TATTATTATTGTACAGGATTTATATAGCGCCAACAGTTTGCTCAGCGCTTTACAATATAACGGGAGACAATACAGCAACAATACAGTTCAATACAAGAGGGTTTTGTAGGGTAATTTAGTCTGCTAGGAGCTTGTTCTCCCCTAATAATCTATTTCTAACCTGAACTTGTTTTTATACTTTGTGTAAGCAAGAGTTAGGCTAGCCATACATGCTAAGATTCCTCTTGTTAAGCCCACATCCATGCTGATCTGCAGTTAGAGGAGCCTACACTGATGGCTATTGTATTCAGACAGTCGTAGCACCTGCAAACTGAATACCCGAACAGTGATTGCATCCGACTGGATTTGCCACCCCCCTCTTTTGATTTTGAAGTCAGCCATCTAGGGGCGGACTGACCATTTGGAAAACTCGGGCACTGTCCGAGGGCCCGGGGTCAGTAGGGGGCCCAATGAGATGCCCCTGGTACCTTTTTCATAGGCTTTTTTGAGTTTGGGCACGGACACAGGGGCCCCATGATCCCCTATTGCCCGGGGGCCCCATGAGTTGTCAGTCCGCCCCTGCAGCCATCAACCACTCAAATTTCTGTCCACGTATGGCCAGCTTTTGTTAGTTATTTATTTATTTTGCTGTTTCTCCTTGGGGAGAATTCCTTTTACTTCCTTTTCCAGATACAAAATAGGGTAGACATTTCTTCAATGTGAAGAGAAATCCAGTGTTAGACAGTTGTCAAAGGAACATGTATTACCAGTGGAAGATAACCTCTGTAGAACCTGTTGTTTTGTTGAAAACGTTAACATTTTGGATTTTCTATCATTTTCTGGCCCAATGATATTTGTGTAAGACAAAGGTTAAAATGTAAAACTCTCCATAGATGGGTAGGAAAGAGCTTGAAAATTTGTTTACATTTGATAAAGACCTGTCAAATAAGCATGCGATTACGCCATCATTGATACATATTTTTTTCCCCTACTTGATTACATATTGCCATTCGTTTACAACATTAAAGGTACATTTTTTGTTGATCGATTTCACATGCTCATGAGCAAAATGATTTTTCATGTTATTCCCACTATAATTTTGGATTTTCTATCATTTTCTGGCCCAATGATATTTGTGTAAGACAAAGGTTAAGATGTAAAACTCTCCATAGATGGGTAGGAAAGAGCTTGAAAATTTGTTTGCATTTGATAAAGATCTGTCAAATAAGCATGCGATTATGCCATCATTGATACAATTTTTTTTCTCCTACTTGATTACATATTGCCATTCGTTTACAACATTACAGGTACATTTTTTGTTGATCGATTTCATATGCTCATGAACAAAATGATTTTCATGTTATTCCCACTGTATTCCACTACTCTTGCTTTGAAAATCTTTTGTTGGCGCTACAAAATTCCCATCAACATTTAGAAAGTCAAACGAATGAGCATTTCAAACTATTTTTCAAACGATTTTCTACTTATCTATTGCCAGCTTAAGTGTGTTCAGGCTTTAGTGTGTACTTAGTGTGACTAACTATGCTCTGAAATCTGATTGTAAATTAACTAGCAGCCATGCCGTATGAGGTTAATCTAAATAATCTTTTAAATTCATATGCATTTAGGTAAGCCATCCCTTGAAATAGATATTGGTAAAGCTAAATGATAATAGCACAAGCACATGGTAGTGTGTGAAGCCATCCTTAGAGAGTAAGCTGGATACACACTGAGAGAAAATCTGAAGAAAAATTACGCATGAGTAACAATCGTTCGATATTCGTATAGTGTCTACCAAACTTCCGACATCTGATTCAGACTTTCTGAACAAAAAATTCCGAAGGGACGAATGCCAGCCTTTTTCTTGTACATAAACAGAACTAACAATTTTCATTAAATGTGTACTGTTTTTGTACAAGAAAGTTTGGATACAAAAGACTGCGCATTACGCTCCCAATCAACATTTTGACAGCAACAGCTAATGTTTTTGAGTTAAGAATGAATCTCCCATTAAATGAATCCTGACCTGTGCTCTTTATGTTGACTAAGTGTGAGGGCGCAAACCTTAGATTTGAGTGCTCAGCATTGATCTTTCCATCTTGTTTCCTCACCACAGAGATCCCTGTCCTCCCTTTCGTTATTGTGGGGGGATACACATCCAGCTTACATGTAGGTGGACTTGTTCTTGTTTACCTTGAGAAACCTTTTGTTATCAGCAGTTTAACCTCTGCTAAGGCTTTGGTTTAATGATTAAGTATTCATAGTGTGGATCATCCCTGACTATTGTCCTTTCAATTAGACCTTGGTGCTGTCTCATTATTTATTTATTTTTAACGTATTATATATTTGTCTCAGCATGTCAGTTATTGTCACTGTTTGTTCCACCCAAAGGTCTGCTGGCATTATAGGGCAGGGGCGGACTGACCATTTGGAAACCCAGGCACTGCCCGAGGGCCCAAGGTCAGTAGGGGACCCCATGAGATGCCCCTGGTACCTTTTTCATTGGCTTTTTTGAGTTTGGGCAAGGACACAGGGGCCCCATGATCCCCTATTGCCCGGGGGCCCCGAGAGTTGTCAGTCCCGCCCCTGGGTAGGGGTCTCCAAACTCTTTTAACAAAGGGCCAGTTTACTGTTCTTCAGATTTTAGGGGGGGCTAGACCATGGCCAGTGGGAGTAGGAAATGTCCTGGCATCAGTGGGAGTAAACAATGTCCTACTTTAGTATTAAGGGAATTATTAGTGCCCCATCATTGGTTTCAGAAGGAAGAATAGTTCCCATCATTGCTGTCAGTGGAGGAATAGTGATCTGTCATTAGTATCAGTGGAAGGAATAGTGCCCTATCATTGGTGTCAGTGGGAGGAATAGTTTCCCATCATTGGCATCAGTGGAATTAACAGTCCCCCATAATTGGTATCAGTGTGAGAAATAATGCGCCATTGTTGGTGTCAGCACAGGAATTATTGCCCAGTCGTTGGTGTCAGTGGGAGGAATAGTTCCCCAAGGGCAAACAAAGGGCCACATCCCCCCCCCTCCCCCAGGCCGCAGTTTGGAGTTCACTGCAGTAGAGGAATAAGAAAAACTAATGGTAAACAACAGACTGAGCTTCCCTCTTACCAAGGCTTGGGAGGAAGGGTAACTTACAACCCTTACTAGCGTCAGAGATAGCTATATAAATGGAGACACTGCTTTTACATGGCTAAGTTTCTTTTAGCGAAAATTGTTCCATTGCATATTCATTCCAGGAATTTGCTATTAATAATTTAAGATCACTTAACTTTAAAAAAAAAAAAAGAAAAAGTAAACTGCTGAAGTGTGGTAAGTTCATATGTATACAGGACTAGTCTACATTCAGCATTAGGCCATGGTGCATAAATCAGAAATGTAGCTACAGCAACTTGTATATTGTGAAAGCAATAAAAATTTTCAAGGGCTTAGTCAACCAGTAGCTAAGCTGAGTGCTGGGAGCGTTACAGGCCTACATACAGGGGCGTATTTACCACAAGGCAAACAAGGCATTTGCCTAGGGTGGCATTTTTCAGGTGGGCAGCACCGCCCTCTGGAAGAAGGGACAGTTGCGTCATGGGGACCAGGTGGGTACTGGGAGAGGCTGCGGGCTGCTTGATGGTGTATGCAGAGCCCGACTCTCATTCCCAGGGATGTCCAAAGCTGTGAAGGTGAATGTCTTTTTCATGTGTGTTAGTGGAAAGTTCTCTTGGGTAGGAGGGGCAGAGATGTTGTTGGTCAATGTCAGGCTCTCTCTGCTGTGGGGGGGGGCATGATTTTTGTGTTGCCTGGGTCGGTACAAAACCTAACTACACCACTGCCTACATGTATCCAATCAAATGCCTTTCTTCTGCATATGTTATTCTGCCTGAGGCACTAAGCATTTGGTAACCTAATTTCTGAGGAATTGAAGGACAAGAATATAGATAGACTGATTCTCTTGTTCGTCAGAAAGATTATCCAACGAGATGCCCAGCTTTTTATATGAGTGGCAAAAGCAGAGTTTGGCTTTTCCCCTTTCACCTCCTAAGTCCTCCTGTTGGTCAGTGAGACCGCCTGTCACGTTAAACAACCAAAACAGAGGCTTGGGAGGTAAAAGTGAGCAGGCCACCAAGCTCAACTTTACATAAATAGATCTCAGGTCAAGATACATTTTCAAGTAACCTCTGCCTATGAACTTTTTTCACCCATTACTGCCACCCCATATTTTATTTTATTACAGGTATTTATATAGTGCAGACATCTTTTATGTAATGCTTTATACATAATGCATATCCACATCAGTTCCTGTCCTCAAGGAACTTACAATCTAAGGTTGCTATTTCACATGCATACATACACATACTAGGGCTAATTTAAAAAGGAGCCAAATTGTGGGAGTGTGGGAAGAAACAAGAATACCCAGTGGAAACCCACCCAAGCACAGAGAAGACATGCAAACTCTATGCAGGTAGTGTCACGGTTGGTGTTCAAATTGATGGCTCTAGTGCTGAAAGGCAGGAGAGCTAACCACCAAACCAACTCTGCTGATGGGAGCTGTCAGTGCCAGCTCTATCACTGTGCTGGGAGCGTGCACGGATGCATACATGCTGAGCAGTAAGGCCCACTTGTCCTGCCATGTGTGTACAATTGAAATAAACTGGTTTTATCATTTCAGTTTGATTTGCCCATATTTGTGACAGGTCTTCTTACATGTACAGATTTGTATATTAGCCACAAGAAGGTGATCTGCATTTCATTGCAATCCCAGACCCCCTTGATTAACAACTGTTGAGATATGGTAATGGCCCACATACAGAGCACATTGTTTACAGTGGGCTTGATTTACTAAAGGAGTAGAGAATGTTCACATTGCTTAGTGAATAAGGAGAAGCCATCCTCATGCTTAATTGCTAATCATATGCAATGCAAATGGAAAAACAGGATTTGTATTCATATGATTGGTTGACTAAAGTGAACCCAGCTACACAGTGCAAAGTGAAGCTTCTTTGCTCTTATTGAAAATTATTCCAAATGAGTAAGACCCAATTAAGTCCTGAAATAAGGGAGATAAACAGTAAAGTACAACCACTGTGCAGCTCTACAAAGCAACAGAGCATGCAAATATAGAGCATCCCTGAACAGGGGCGAACTGACAACTCATGGTGCCCCGGGCAATAGGGGATCATGGGGCCCCTGTGTCCTTTCCCACATTCAAAACACACCCAAAAAAGCCTATAAAAAGGTACCAAGGGTATTTCATGGGGCCCCCTACTGACCCCGGGCCCTCGGGCAGTGCCCGAGTGCTCGAATGGTCAGTCCGCCCCTGTCCCTGAAGGAGCTGCTGATAGCAAGTAGATTAATTCCTGAAATTCTAATGCACACACAGCCAGGCACACAGCATGTTTTCCTTTTCGCTGGTTCAAAAAAAAAAAAACAGTCTAGGGGGTGTCTTTTTGTGCTTTATTGCAGATTAAACTTGGATGGGGTTAAGGGAGAATGAGATACCCCAAAAATTCTGGTCTGACTTATCTGAGGCCTCTTCTCTTCCCACTGACTGCCAGAAGGTTCCAGCAGAATTTTCAACTGGTTGAGGAATATTTAGGGTCTCCTCTTGAAGGACTGCGACCTGCATACAGTCATTAGGGCACAGAACTTAGGTTGGCATTCACAATGCCACAGGATCATCGGTTGCCTCCTTCCGATATCCACGGGTACTCTTCAGTGAGTTCTCCAGACTAGTAAAATCCAAGACCAGACTTTGAAATAGGCCATCCAGCTTAAGCAACAGCTGGGACCTTGATGACCTTCTAGCAGGGCCTCCAGCAGAGCCCCTTAGACAGGGAACTCCTCTTGCAGGACTGGACCCAGGACTCTGAAACAATGTTCCAGGCCTCAGACCATTTATGGTATCTCCAGCTACCTACTGGGCACACCATCCCAGGGATTAGCTGAGTCCCCAAAAAAATTCAAGCTGCCCCTCCTTCTGTGATTCTAGAATCCTCTAGAATGCAGCAGGAAATAATCGGACCAGCAGCCTGTGAAACACAGAGCAGACTAAAGCAATCAACCACAGCTTCACTGGCTACAGGAAAGCTAAATTAAATTTGCCCAGCATCCTACATTTAACTAGAAGGGTGCTACACCTTTGTAATGAGCTAATATGGCTGCCTGCCCCCACTTCTCTATACATCACTAGGATTTATACAAAGTTTTGAACTCCGGAGAGATAAAACATACACAAATGATAGCTAACTAGGTGATCATTAATTGTATTTTTTTTAAGTAAGTACCTAACTTTGACTTGTACAGCAGCACTAAGGCTGGCCATACATTATACAATTTTCGTGAAATTTTTGGTTTAGATTTACCAAAAACCATATAATAGGAGGTCAAACCTAACAACTCTTTCAATTGTATCCAATTAGGCAAGCCCTTGCAATACATAGTTGAAGGTAAATCTAAAGGAAATTAGGCAGAAATTGGACAGAAAATTGTATAGTGTATGGCCAGCCTGAGATTAGAAGAGGGAGGGGCAGGAACTGGAGCCAATGGGTTGTATTGCGTGCAAACATACTGACAAGGAACATGCTGATAGGAGGGGAGTGAATAGAGAGATAGCCTCATCAGTTTATTGACGTCTGTTTACTGTCCAATCAGCTGGGAGTTAACAGAGGTCATCATTGTATCCCTTCTACAGTTTTTAACTGTAACAAGAAAGTGGTGTCATCCATCTGGCCATGTTGTCTGGATAATCCCAGGGCTAGATGGATAGAAATATAAATAGTTTGGCAGATAAAATGGCTCCCTTGTATGGATTTAATATATATATTTAGTTATGGTATGTGTTTAACTAAGGTTATTTACATTAAAGTAATTGCTTTCATACGTATATCTAAAAAAACACACACAAAATAAAGAGACTATAGTTTCCCTTTAAATCACAGTCTGGGATGTAGTAAACAACACATTGCAGATCTGCAGACTTCTCACCCAGTGGTGTGAGCTTGTTGTTGCAAACGTGCGATCACATCTGTAACGTGCGAGTGAGGTGACTGAAATACAGCCTGGCGCTGAGATTAGACACCCAGCTTTCTAGGCAAGTTAATATCTCTGGCTGGTGACCTACATCACCAGACCTGTGCACTTGAATCGGTTTGCCATCATTCAACTGAGAAGTTAATAAAATCTGAGCTGAGAGAGCAGATGATAATCTCAGGCCACATGCTCTGACTTGAGTTAAGGAAATAAAATGTGAAAAAAATATGTATACATTGTATGCATTGAGGAGTTGGCTGACCTGCTTGGAAGAGTTCTACAGCAAATTCCCCCCCGGGCTTGTTACACATTACCGAATGGTCTCGTGATGGGGGAGCGTACAATGCATCCATATTCAACAGCAGGATCAGCTGCCGGTCAAACGTGCAGCTTAGCATGAAACAAAAACATTTGCACGTGTTTTCTTTGCTGGGTAAGGGAGAATGTCACCAGCACACCGAGGATCACCAATATGGGTCCAAAAGTTTTAATGAACGATCACATAGTTACAGCAAGGCAATGTTTCAGAGTCTCACAGGACCCCTTTATCAGGCATGGGTCACATGCCTGATGAAGGGGTTCTGCGAGACTGCAATTCTGTTCGGTTCCAGCCGACGGTCGCTACAGCACCCACTTATGCACACAACCATTTTTAACACAGAAAGGTGTACGTTGGGACTGTACACTTGCATTCTTTGCTGGGTAGGGACGAGCAATTTTTTAAAAAATTGGTTCTGGTCAAAATGACCAATTTTCCTGTTTGCTAAATTTTGCAGAAGCAAATTTCGCCCATTGAACTGCTTAGGCAAAATTTGCCTGAACAATTTCTTTAACTCTAAGAAGCCATCTTTAGCAAAGTTGTCCTTTAAAAAAATCCCCCAACCCCCTAAGGCAGCTCACCTGGAATAATAATTACCCTCCTCCCAGATCCAACAATCATTACTCCAACAAGATTTCAGCCATATTCCCTTCATACAATATATGCGTGCTTCATTCATTCTCATGGATAAGCAACACTCCTGGAGGCTGCAGGGCATATAGCTTGCCCATAAGAATGAAAGAAACCAAAGCACACATAGGCTGTATGAGGAAGAGCCATCTAGGACCTTGTCCTGGACTGCAAAAGAAGGTAAGTATTACCCAAGGTTGGCTAAATTCAGGGGGTGGAGAGTTTTATTAAAGGACAACTACAAAAAAGGTGATGTCCTTTAGAGCTCATTTTTTCCTTAAAAACAACCAGTGAAAAATTAATTGAAATCTGATTTTCATCAAAATTGAAAAGGAAATGAAAGCTCTCAATTGCGCTTTTCCCTAGTGGTGAGGTACTAATCAGCTGATCTACTACAGGGACATTCAAATGGTGATCCAAAGGTCACTTGTGGACATTCAGTGTATTTTGCTTGTTTCTTTGACTTAGACCAGTGGTTGTCAACTTACTAGGTATACGTGGCCTCATCTGTGGTCCCTGACATCGCCAAAGGCCTGTAAATAATGTATAGTATATATAATGATAGAGAAGACTGTCAGAGACTGCAAACATACTAGAAGAAATGATGGTCAGAGACTGGGGGCATGCTACAGGTTTGATCAGAGACTAGAGATAGGCTACAAAAATCAGCGGGAGACTGGGAATATGCTACATGGGACTAGTAGGGATCACCAGCGTTATCTCTTTGCAAATCTATGCTTCATCTCTCACTATAAGCTGCCAGAATCCACAGGTTGGGCATTAGAGACCTAGACAACCTAAAATCATTATAGATTGTGCTGAATGTTATAGCTTTTGTAACCATCAGGGGCTTTTTATTGAATTTGCCCCTTTTATAAACCCCCCTACCCTAAGGGCAGTTCACCTGGGATAATATTTACCCTCTTTCTGATTTAGCAATCTTTACTCCAAGAAGATCTTAGCCTTCTTCCTTTTATATTACATATGAGAGTCTCATTCATTTCCATGTGGTAAGCCACTCTCAGGTACTGCTGGAGGCAACCATGAGTATGGCCTATCCATAGGAAAGAGGAAGATTGCAGCATGTATCCCACTACAAGCTGCTGATATCCACAGGTTGCATATCAGGGGCCTGGACAGCCTAAAATTACTCCTCTGAATGAGAGAACTGCTGTAACTCTCAGGAGCCATCCCTAGTAAAGTTGTTCAGGGGCCTAGACAAGTTAAATTATTGTGGACTCTGCTGAACGATAAATAAATATGTATTTTTAGATGAACAATCTATTGCATTCAGGCAATTTCAACTAGTTTTTGATTGCAAAAACAACCAATCAGATGAAGGAAACCTACCACAGATAGTTCCTGTGGACACTCATATGATATGACAGGTTGGTGGTGAGATCTTAGAAAATTCAGTTTCTGGCAATAGAATTAGTACTTCACGGATCAATCTCACTTGTTTCCTGGAACTGCTCTTTAAAGAGTTCCAATTTTTTAAATACAGATCTAGGAAACTTATATGTTAGTTTCAGCAGCCTGGTTTCCATCATATGCTCTGTTGCTATTGAAGAGTACAGTTTCAGTTGTTCAACATCTGCCTCCAGACCATACATCAAACCTTCCATGACCTGAAGTGTTTCCAGTTCTCGTGCATCATTTTCACTTGCCACAAACCAGATGTATCTCTGCTCCCTCATGGACAGGCCTTCCAAAACAGGACCAAGAACACTAGTACACATGTGGAAATGTTTTATGATGAGCGGGGTGACTTTCTGGCATGTTTCCCCAATCTAAAGCCCCAGCTTTGTCTGTTTTTACAGAGACAAGTTTAACAAGTTCTTTAATCCAGCTGTTTTCACAAGATCACTGATTCTAATGCTAATAGTAATTGCATTTAATTTTAAGTAAAACTTCTACAGCCTAAGGAGAGCATGGTGTATGAGCAAGATGCCCTGAGGGGTCTATTTTAACGTGACACCTTGTGGACCTGTATATGAGTTGTATCTTGATGTACGCATTCCACAGTGACAGGATTTCTAGAGAAAAGCTTTAAACAGAGGAGTTACCCAATTGGCTGATCTTGACCTAGTTTTAGAAAGCCCTGTGCTCCATCTGAAATCAGCTGTATAGACAAAGTATGGAAACTGTCTCAGTAGACGGTTTTGGTTTTCTCAGCAGTATTTTTTATCGTTATAATTTCTTGCAGAGTTCTTTAGCAGTTTGTGAAATCATTATTCAGTTTCTGCCTTTTCGATATGCTTTTGGCTATTAAAATCATCCTGGTTATGTTATCAATGCCCAATAAACAAAGAAGCTTTATTTTAAAGGGCATTATTTTTGACCCAA